TTGTAATTCTTGTACTTGACTGATTATAGATTTGGAGTCCACCATTTTGTATTCCAAAAAGCGGCCAACAAGAAACTTCTTGGCTCCGGCATCTTCGGTTTTGTACTTTTTGTCCAAAGACTCCCATAATTCCTTAGCCGTTTTTATTGTGCAGTACACATTGTACAATGAATCAGCTAAACTGTTCATCACATAATTCCGGCACAGGAAATCAGAATGCTTCCAAGCATCCACTGCACTGATTGCTTGAATGTCTCCTTGACCCTCTTGAAGCACTGGAGCATTTTCAGTCAAGAATCTCGCAAGATTCAAGGTCGTGAGGTAAAACAACATTTTTTGTTGCCACCTCTTGAAATTCGAACCATTGAACTTCTCCGGCTTTTCCCCGTGATTAACCGGGACTGTCACAGTTGGACCAGTAGCCAGACTTGGCATGGGAGCCACAGTCTTAGTCCCACTTGGACCAGCAGCTAAGCTTGGCATATTAGCCACAGTTTGTGTTACTGGAGCCACCACTTGAGCCACATCAGAACCTGGCAAAGCCACAGCCTGAGCCACAGGAGGCACAATTTCGTTTGCAGATCCCACAACGTTATTGGTAGGTGTATTTTCCATTTTCTGAAACACAATCAGAAAAATTAGTACGAAAATATTGCTTTAAGATTGTAGGTAAACTCTGAACAGTTAACCGAATTAAAAGAAGTAATAGACAAATTGCAGTGGACAGAAAAAGAAAATATTGCAGTTGACAGAAGATAAAATTGGCGTCTTTGAAGCCGGGGCCTGTGTCGAACACAGTGTCCTTAAAGCAATATTCGCCCCCTCACCGAAGTAATGCGAGCGCTTGCTTCCCAGGATACAGCGGCGTGAACTGTAGTTTGTACAGTCGAACTGAACGAGTGTGCCGGAACGGAATCACCAAGTGACTGTAAGACGACAGGAATTTGAAAAGGAAGCAGAAAGATTTCGTGCTGTTGTGGTGTGTCTGAACTGAAGAGATTGTTCGGGATATATAGGCAAGGAGGAGCCTTTGCCTCTTAATGCAGTCATAACTCCAGTCATAACTCTGCCATTGAACTCCAGTCATAACTCTGCCATTGAATTCTCACGTTTTGGAGTTACAAAAATAAATGAAAACAGTTTTCAAGTTATGTTTTAAATGGAAAAACGTAAAAGAAAATTTTCAAAACGTGGCTTGCACTTGGTGGCCAATTTTTGACTCATTCGGTCCGACATTCGTGTACGCAGGTCGCGCCCGCACACAAGTTCAAGGCTCGAAGGCCAAGTCGGTCCAAGATTTGCACCCCCCCTGCGGGCGCGTAGGCCACGGAGGAGTCTCTATGCAACAAATGGTTACACCTTACAAATTGTTAACCATATATAAATTGGTCCAAAAACTTATTCTTATCCTATGTGGGATAACTATTTAAGTTTTCCCACTTGCCACTTTCTTTTTTCTTTTTCCAATGTGGGATGGTACTATTTATAGTCCCCATATATTCCCACTTTTCCATTTCTAACCAATGTGGGATTGTTAATCCCTTTTAAGGCTCCTCTTCAAATCCCAACTTTCAATCAATGTGGAATTAATTTCACATACACAAGTGAAAATTCATTTGCCATAATATATTTTCCAACAATACATTCTTGTGTAGTAGTGATATGTAGCAGCGATATTGCTGCACAGTGGTGCTGTGCAGAGGGGTTGCGCTGCAGATCGCGCCTGTAGCGACCTAGATGGCGGCTACAGCGGCGGAGATTGCAGTTGCAGCGGCGCAAATCATGGTGATGATGATGATTTTTTTTTTTGTTGTTGTTGAATGGGTGTTTTTGGTTTCCAGGTTTTAGGGTTGGTGGTGGTAGTTGTGTGGTGGTCCGGTGGTTTTAGTGGTGTTTGGGTGGTGGTGGTGAAGACAGTTGGCTGCGATGTTTGAAATGATGATTTTTGTTGCTGGGAAGTGGTGGTGTGTCTCTGGGTGGTGCGTTTATGTGGTGGTAGTGGTGTTGGTGGCGGCAACTACGGCAGTGTTGTGTCGATCGTGGTCACAAATGATTTGGTTGATTGTGACCAATAAATTAGTTGTGTGTGACCAATAAATAATATATAACCAATGAAATAGATAAATTGTGACCTAAAATTTTATTAATTTGTGATCAATAATTTGATAAATTGTGATCTAAATATGATTTGTGATCAATTAATTTGATGTTTTGTGATCATAAAATTTGCGACTTGTAAAATTTGCGACTTGTGATCAATAAATAATACGTGATTATTAATTTGATAGATTTGTGATCGATGAATAAATTGTGACGTGCAAATTTTTGATTTGTGACTGATGAATAAATTGTGACCGTAAAATAATTTATGACATATAAAAATTGTGATTTGTGACTAAATTATATGGAATTGTAACCTTAATATATTTAATTAATAAAATATATGTTTAATTAATTAATTTAATAATAATATTTTAAAAACTCTGAGATTTAAAATTTTAAACATAATTTCTTAAATTTGAAATTGGTAAAACTGAACGTCTTAGTTATGAAATCTTCCCAATTTGACACCCATGTCACTAAAATGGGTGGTAGGACAACTTGAAGTGCCTTGGAATGACTTAAAAAATCAAAATGAGTTTTTGAGACTTAAAATCTATTTTTGGATTCATTTGATTAATGTTATGAAAGTATTTTTTTTAATTAGAAGAGTTTTTAAAGGAAGTTGGTCCAATATGACTTCCTCTAAAAGTAATTCCGAAATAGAAAGCTCTTTTAAAATTTAATTTACAAACAAAAATTAAGTTACCTTTTTGTCAAAAATTCTTCTACAAATAAAAGCAAAAGCAAAAATATGCCCAATGGGCCATAAATACCACTTCTACTGACTTTTGATTTCAACGATACTTTTAAGTAAAGGAAAAAATTCATAAATAAGGTGTATTCTTTACACCAATTCAAAAATAAGGTTTATAGTTTGAAACTTCAAAAATCAGGTTTTTTTTTTTATTCTAATATAATATAATATAATATAATAAACACACCACACATGCACCACCCCTGCTTCGGTGACTATTCCGACGACCATTCCGACCACCACTCTTCTCCGGCTCCGATTCCGGCGACTGTTCCGATTCCGACGACCATTCCAGCGAGGTCACAGATTTTTAAAGAGTCACGTATTATTATATTTTTAGGTCACATTTTGGTCACAGATTTACAATTTAGTTAGTCACATATTATTTTTCAGTCACGGATAATAATTTTTATAAGTCACATATTATTTTACGGTCATAGTTCAAAAATTTTGTAGGTCACAATTATTTCTTTGGTCACATATTTCAAATTTAGTTGGTCACATATCAAGATTTATAGGTCACATATCAAAATTTATAGGTCACACGGTCACATATTTCAAAAACTGATTGGTCACAGATTATTTTTGAGTCACATATTACTAAATTTTTAGGTCACAGTTGAGTAATCAGTCACAGATTACCAAATATTTGGTCACATACCCTCAAATACTTGGTTACATAACCAAGTAATTGGTCACATACACCAAATAGAGGTCACACACCACACCACACCACCGTCACCAACACCGCTTGTGACCACCCTCACCTCGGCACCACCACAACAGCACCAACGCCACACCACCACCACCACCACCACCGATGAAAGCCGCCACTCTACGGCGCCACCACCAACAAAACTGTCACATATTCCTTTTCAACGCACATCACCAACAAAAAGTCTATGAGGTTTTCAACGCACATCACCACTCTGGATCTGAAAATCGCCACCACCGACATCTCAAAAAACACCATCCAAAAACCCTAAACCAATCCGAAAATCACAAAACAACCAACCCACCAGTAACACCTCCATCACCGCCAAATCCACCACATCCGACCACATATATATATCTCACGGCGTCGATCTGAAAAGCGTCTCCAACGCCACCTACACCACCAGAACACAGAAGAAGAAAAAAAAAACCTAAAATGCAGCGAAATCGCTGCTGTCCCCAGACTCCATTGCTACTGGACAACCATTGTAGCCCTAAATCGACGCTCACACCCACCACCATCTCCATTGTTGCAACAGCGATGACCGTTACACTCGTTATCTCCGATGCAGTAACGACGTCAGCTCCGTTGCACCTAAAAATCGACGATGACCGCTACAGCAAAAACCACCCCAACCCTAAAACCACAAACACTCCAAAACCCAACAAAAATACCACCACTGCAATCCATGCACACACCACCACGGTCACAAATCACGCCAAGCGCTGCCAACCACGTACACGCACCTCCGACGTTCAGATCTGTGGGTTCAGATCGCCAATATTTCCAGCTAAAGTGAGACGGTGGAGAGAGGGGGAAATGATGAAAAAGAAAGGGGAAATAGATTTAGGGCTTGGCCTTCCTAGCGTCGGTGCCGGCGCCGTCGCCATCCTCGCAGCGAGACAGCCGGAGGTCGTGAGAGAGTTGAGAGAGAAACTGAGATAAGAAATGAGTGAAGAATTGAAATTATTAGGGTTTGATTAATTTAACAAACCTATTACAAAAATTTATAGATACCTGATTTTTGAATAATGAAACTTAATCTTTGATTTTTGAATTATAATCTTTAAACACCTGGTATTATGTAATTTTCCCAAATATAAATGTAATGTTCTAAAAAGCGTAAAGCATTACTAGGCCGTGAGGCAAGTTTCAAGCTTTACGAGCCTAAGCGAAGTTTAGGAGTAAAAAAACGTTTTTATATTTTTAATTTTATTTAAAATTTTTAATCGTAGTAAAACATTTTGAATTTTATTTCAATATCTATTTTCCTATTTTCTTTTTCATTTTTTTTTCCCCTGCCCCTACTCTGTCTTGACCCCAAAGAAAACCCACTCTGATTCAAAACCCAATCGCAAATACGTTTATAGAGAGAGTATCAGTTGATAGCAGAAGAAGAGAAAGCTTGAGAATTGTAGAGCGAGAAAGATGAGTAGCATTGGCACAGGTTACGATCTTTCTGTGACCACATTTTCGCCGGACGGTCGAGTTTTCCAGATCGAGTATGCTGCAAAAGCCGTCGACAACAGCGGCACCGTCGTCGGTATCAAATGCAAAGACGGAATCGTTTTGGTATGACTCTATGTCTTTATTATTACGTGATATTAATTAATTTTAGTTGTCAGGGTTTCTGATTATTTATTTTGTTAATTATGATGTGTGCAAACGTAATTAGGGTGTGGAGAAGCTGATTACTTCGAAGATGATGTTGCCCGGGTCGAACAGAAGAATCCATGCCGTCCATCGCCATTCCGGCATGGTAACATTTTTGTTATACATTTTCTCTAATTTTATGGTTATGTAAAAAATTTGATAATTTATATGCTCTTTTGTGGTTGGATGTGTTATGTTCAAATTGAATGTTTGAGGCCAGGTATTGCTGGAGGCTGGATACAGTCCCCAAAAGTTTTGATTTTTAATTGACCAAAATTACGGAATAATATTAAAAACGAGTTGAAGAAATATACCAGCTGAAGAGAATATACAAAGAATTAGATTTGCTTTGTCATCAATATACACTGGCAGTTAGATGGAATTCTTCAAATTTATTCTATTACTATCTAATGGAAGTATATTTGTGTCCTTGCTGCTGTTCTTCTATTTGCAGGCTGTTGCAGGATTAGCTGCAGATGGCAGGCAAATTGTCGCACGAGCAAAATCTGAAGCAACTAACTATGAGAGGTTTAGTTTACAGCTATCTTGCATTCTTCTCTGTACCTCTCTTCTGACTTTTTTCTAGTAGATTTAACATGTCGTAACTTACTAAGTGAAGAGACCGAAAGCATTGCATACTCTCTCTTTCCTTCCTTCACCTCCCAAAAAGCACCCACTCATTTGTCTCTGATCAGTTCTGGAGTAAGGTTATGCTTGTGTTACCATGATGCTTATCTTAAGGAGTAATATGACCCTTGTATTAAATAACAAAAGTAAAAATTTAGATTTTCCTGATTTAAGCCTCGATATTGCTTCAGGACTACTGTGGTCAGTGATTTTATAGAGGACTTAAATCTGATCGTAGGGAGTAAAAGAATAGGAAATTAAGATCTATTTGGCTTCACTAGGGACTGGAATATGAGAAACATCGATTTAAAGTTTTTTAGTGTTCAAGATAGTTGACAGATGGAGGATTCTGATAACTTTTTCGTTAATAATGAGATTATAAAAGTATTCTAGTGTATGTATTGAAGAAGACGGCACAATCTAAGAGCAATTTTTCACTTGTACGGAAACATTCTCATTTTAAAAAAAACTAGTGAAGACAATTGAAAGAAAATTGAAATGTCACTAAATAGCTTAGAAGATATCACACAAAGACTAAATTGCCTATGACACTTTTCCTTTGACCAAAAATCCTGATTAACACTCACTCAAAATACGAGAGAGATAATTAGAGATTTTTTGCTGCCATATATTGAAGACTGGCATGAATCGTGGAGAAAAACATGCGGTGTGTATATTTTTACTCAAATGTTATTAAGGGGGTTTTAGCATTTATTCCCATGTGCGATGCCCAATGGTACCACCTTTTTCTTTGCTGTTGGATAAAATCTTTGTTTACCTAGAAGCTTTCAACTCAGCAAAACAACATTGATTTTTGCCTGGACTTATTTTTCAGTCAATATGATCATGTAACGCTGTCAAAAAATGACCTATTGCCCATCCCTTTCTTATATTTTGCTATCGTCTGTCTTTGCAGTGTGTACGGAGAACCAATTCCAGTAAAAGAACTTGCAGAACGTGTTGCAAGTTACGTGCATCTATGTACACTATATTGGTGGCTCAGGTTTATTACTTCATCTGATCAAATTGCGAAGGCTTCTTCCTGTTTAACTGCTTTATATATGTGATCCTAGTATGACTTTTGCAGGCCTTTTGGAAGTGGAGTAATTCTGGGAGGTTATGACAGGGATGGGCCACAGCTGTACATGGTTGAACCTTCTGGAGTTTCCTATGTGAGTTGATTTATTTCCATTATTTGCAAATGATAACTATAGCATTTAATGTTTGTTAAGCTCTAGAACTACTTCATATAAAGTTGGTCATATTTGTTGAGGAATTTCTCATTGGGTTTATTTGGTAAAATGTTTGTTGTAGAGATACTTTGGTGCCGCAATTGGGAAGGGCAGGCAGGCTGCTAAAACGTAAGAAAATTTTCTCTACGTGTGCATGCCCCATGTTGCTCTTCTTAGATGTTCCAACCTACTCTTTAAAACATCTTGAGGAACCAAAACTGAAAAAAAAAAAACCATGAATTTATGCCTCTCATTCTGAAGGCGTGGTACAATATCCCTTTTGTCCTTGCTATATTTTGTTGCTTTATTTTTTCCCAATTGTCCAAATTAGATTATGATTGTGTATGGAATTCGGCATTGTTTAGACAAATGAAGCAGCAATTCTGCCCCTTAAATGATTATATTTATTCTTTTATTTGATTCTAAAATTGTTGTATCATTTGACCTTTTGATATAATCTATCTACTCGTTCATTACAGAATTTCCTTTCTTTTGTATGTTCTCTTTGTTCAACAAGTTATGTTTTAATACTGACATGGAGTCAAAATAATGTTGTACAGCGAGATTGAAAAATTGAAGCTTTCTGAAATGACCTGCCGACAAGGGGTTATTGAGGTGGCCAAGATGTAAGTATATTCATCCAAATGAAGTGAGACATTTATATCCATCTGGCATGAATCTTTAAATATCTTTTGGCTACAAGTTTTTCCCCCACCATATTTTCTGGTGGAAAACAGATTTAAATTTGCCAAATTGGTTTTATTTAGGTGCCCTGTCAACGTTCACCGCATACAGCTGATTAAGCTTTTGTTGCTTTCGGCATTTTAACTTATTACACTACCAGCCTACCTTTTTATATTCCAAATATGATGCTAGCCTACTTGGTTATGTTGCCTTCCCAATTTGCAAAAATGTTGACACACGGAATATTAATGTGCATAATCTTTTAGCTTTTGATATCCAACTTTTATTAAGCAGAATTTACGGAGTTCATGACGAGGCAAAGGACAAGGCCTTCGAATTGGAAATGAGTTGGGTCTGTGATGAGTCTAACCACCAGCATCAAAAGGTATATAATGAAATGTCTTGAGACCTTTTATATTTACATGCTAAATTGGTAAATCTTAGTTATGCCTCTCCTTAGCTTCTGATGCCTTATTGTTTTACCACTTTTTGGCATACCATGGATAATCTGATATTCGTCTAATTGAACGTTGCCATGTGAAAGACCATCCATTTTTTGATCATTCATTATTTTCTTTTGATTTTCGTGACTGATTTTGTGTGACTTGTATGGAATGGATGGTTTACTTTGTTTCTTTAGTTTAGTATTTTTCTATTATTGGGACCACAAGGAAAAAATTTCCTTTATCCAACCTATGAGATCTTGATCGTAAAATCTAGTAAAAACTTTATTAAGGCCGTGTTTGTTTCGGATTAAAATCAGATTTTAATTTAAGTCAAATTCAAACAATCAATATTAACACATCTTTCATAGGTCCACAACTTTTCAATCACACATTTCAAAAATTTCTATCACAATCTACTAAAAATCTAATTATAATCCCACCAAACACCCACTAAATCATAAAGTCCTTGTTTGACATTCATTTTTTTCTCATTCTCTTTTTTCATTTCAACCACACATTCTATCAATAAAATAATATTACACATAAACCCAAAAATTTTCCTTACTTTTTAACCACATTCTTCCATCAATCACTATTCCAAATCAAATTTTTCCATAAATTGGGTGTCAAACAAGGGCAAAGAATATTCCATACTTATTTGATTGTTAGTAATAAAGTTTAATATGACTAGCCACTTAACTATATAGAGAATTTCATTATGTATATGCTCATCACAGACCAACTTGTATTCTCCACTTAATTTTATCTTCAAAAAATTTGATGTTTGACAATAATTTATGATTGCAATATTATATGTTTCGACATTATATCTTGCCTGGGGCTTTAATTGTTGGATGTATATCAAAATTTCAGTTCCCGTGCCACTCCAATATTTGGTGTATGTTATATGTACAAATTATTTGCAAATGAGCAAGTCGGTGATTCTCAGGTTCCAGATGATATCTTGGAGGAAGCCAAGGCAGCAGCTAAGGCCGCCCTCGAAGAAATGGATGCGGATTAGTCTCTGGTTTTGCAATTTTCATTTGAAACTTTTACTATATTTTATCCTGTGTCAAACTCTACAGTTATGTCAGTAATTGGATTTAGATACTTGTATTATTGTCTTACTTATGTTTCCAACACAATGCTCCGTTCCTTCATTGTAAGATCTTTTGGATTGCACTCTTGTTACATAATGCTTGAAGGCACCCCCCCCCCCCAACCCCCTCCATGTTTGTGCCATTTTAGACTAACCTAGAGATGTCAATCCGGGCCAAGCTGTCCATGCCTAAAAACCCCGCCTCTGGAGAGTCTGGTAGCTCAGCACGCAGATAAAATGTGGGCCATACTGGGCTCATAAGCAGCCTGTATTAGTGCATTTGGGAAAGCATGGCCACCAATTTGTTCCAACCCACCCGCTTTAATGCGAACCTAACTGCAAGCTTAAACTTCAGGTCTTCACCTTCCTTGACCTTTGGCCGTCATACATTGTTTTATTGCTTGTGGAGACGTGTTTTTGATAAACAATTGTCTAGAACTGGTCACTATGACCTCCTTCGTGAGGAGATACCCCTTCTTCCGAAATTGTAGGACTATTTTATTGAATTTCTTATATTGAGTTGTCGCGTACTTCTACATGTTCCTTATCTATCCACTTGTGTCGATTTTGAGCACAGACGTCCTTTTGTTTAAAGGTCGTTTGAGTTTTTCTCGAAAGTATGGAGTAGATTATTCGAGCGATTGAATTAATCATTTTAATTGTTTTAATAGATTAAGCAAAGCATCAACAAGTAATATGCAGTGCATGCTCTGAACCACTTGATATATTTCGAGGGTATTAAATCAAATAGTAAAATGCATGAAAGAGAGATAAATAACTTTTGTATGTATTTCTTCTTGTATTATAGTATAAATTGAAGGTCTAAAAACGTCGTCGTCTATTCATCTAAAGATGATTGAAGAACATGAATGGACAGTTTTATTTCTCGCCTGTCGCTTGGTTCAGACTCGATGGAGGAAGAATACCTGGCCGCTCGCAAGCCTTTGCCGCTGCACTTCTGACAACTAGTAACCACCACATTCCTCCGGCAAGAGGGGCAGGAGGAGTGAAGTCCTAACCACGTATCAATGCATTCAACGTGGAAGCCATGACCGCACTGAGGAAGCACTCGGAGTTCATCTCCGGTGGCGAACTCTGCCAGGCAAATTGCGCAGTCGGAGCGGGTGTCGTAGTTGGCGGCGTAGGTCAGCTTCGGAAGGTACTTCACCGCACTGAGGAAGCACCCGGAGTTCATCTCCGGTGGCGAACTCGGCCAGGCAAATTGCGCAGTCGGAGAGGTTGTCGTTGTTGGCGGCGTAGGTCAGCTTCGGAAGGTACTTCAGGACCTTCTTCTTCAGGCCATTGTTGGCCGCTGCAGCATCGCCCGATGGCAGCTCAGCGGCAGCGGTGTTATCCGAGAGTTTGACATGTAAATACATACAGAAGAACCAGAAGACGAGCACCGTGAATGCGATGCAGAGCTGTATACCGACTTGAAGCAGCAGCGGCGGCAGCAGTGAAGATGGTGGAGGCAACATAGGTGGATTTGCGCCATCAACAATGTAATATTTTATTGTTTTCCTTGTATCTTCTTTTAATCTCGAGCTTTCATCCTTCGGTTTTTACCTTGCTAATTGTTTCGAGAGTGTTATTGTTATGAAAGAACTACAAACCTATTTTCATTTCGAAATCCCTATAAATAGGCATATGCTTGACTAAAGCTCGAGCTAGACTTGAGATTTTGGAGGCCTTAGGTCAATTTCAAATATGAGGTATTCAAAATTAATATAATAATAAAATAATATTTTTATTAGATAAAAATACAAGTTATAAATTTAATAATCTAAATTCTTAAATAATCTAATGTTACTCTACATTAATCTATTCATTTTTCTTCAATTAGCCCATTAGTATTGCGTATATATTTACAAATAATATACTAATCTGAAAACTAATAGTGGAAAATTTGGTAACCAAGATATATGCTACAAGATATGCTTCTTACTACTCTATATAGTAAGGTTGCATAAGTCTAGTAACTATTTATGCTTGACTAACTCTCATACTTAGTCGACATTTACGTATATATTCCAATCACGAGTTATTCCTTCGACAACAAATAGAATAATTGACATCAGAGCCCTTCAGGTATCACAATACTTTTTTGAAGACATTGATACCTACTAACTAAATCTATAGCATGACAAATGTTAGGACAAATATATATCATAGCATACTCTTAACCCCTAACCGCACTATATGTGATTATCTGGATATCTCTCTGTGCACTTATGAAGACTCATATGGTCGCCTTCTGATATAAGAGTATTAACAAGGTCATAATTCTACAGTTAAAAATATTCTAGAGTCTTTATAGTATAAAATTCTTGTGACAGAGTAAGAAGATTACAATAATATTTTTAACATAAAACATAACATTCAACTTACTAAATCCATGCCCTTTGTCTTAAAGATTGAGGACAACCATTCCAAAATGGTTTCAATACATTCATTCTAATGTTAAGCCAATACAATATCATCTCACACTCGCACATGATAGACTTATCCATTTGAAATGCACAATTTAAAAAACACAAACAAACTGATCCAACCTATTCACCATATCTCTATTTCATCTTGAAATTTTGTTTGGAGCTTATCAATACTCTTATCGATTTGAAATGCCTTGGTAAGGATATCACTACCGGGTTTTGATTTGAAAACTGCATTTGCAATGGTTATAACACCCAGATTTTGACTAGTGAATTAGCATGACATGGAAAACAAACACATAGCCCTTTTGAAGCACCTTAGTAATGTGGTGATTCTTGGGGATTGAAATGATGCAGCCAACTTGAAGAGAACCTTCAAGGATGATTGAAATTTCTGTGGCTTGGGGTGAGTGTGAGAGGATTGATTCCCCATGGCACATAATCAACACGAGTTGTTGTGATGCGGACTGTGTTGAGTCCTGGTAATTGTGTTAGAGTTACTAGTAATATCAATTGGGGGATGAAGCTCAAATGGTAGACCACTGACTTTGCATGCGAGAGATAAGAGGTGTCAATTTGGCTTGTCGTGTTAGGCGACGCATGGTTTAGCCTAGAAAAAGCCCGATCCATCCCTGCTCCTGGCTCGATTCAACCGAGCCGAGGCTTGGGCCAAGCTCCATTTTGTGGCATCGGCCCCGGCCCGAGCCAAGTCCGAGCCTGCTCGTGTAGCTCGTTAAGCCACACAGTGTAACAGGTTATTTTCGAATGGCCCTTGATGAATTGATCCAAAAAAAAAATTAAATAAAAATTAAAAGTTGCCTGTGTCAAGCAACTGCAAACTGCTAATTGACATCCCTACGAGAAACACGAGGTTTAGATAAATATTTCTCCAATTTCAATATCACACCAACACTTTAACAAAATTATTATTATTTTTCTATAATTCTTTGTTTTCTAAACCCCATATACACGCGCGCACGTAGTATAAAATGTTGGTTTTGGAAACTATTTTTAAGAAAAATAAGCGGAAGCAAGAACAATCACATTGTAAGATTTTTTTTCTTTTTAATCAAACAATACACATATTAACTTAAGCGACATATCAGTAAGGAATATATTAAAATGATACCGACGATCGTCTAGGATGTAAATATTGAACTTCTTTAAATCATCAACCTCTCAAAAGCTCCACAATTCTTTCTCGATGTATCTCCGATTACAAGGAACGAACGAGTAGACGTTTCAGATTTGGGTTTGATTCACACACTCATTTTATGTTCTCAACACAATAAGACAAAGTGAGAAGAAGAGAAATAACTCTAAAAAAGGTATTTCACGTAAATTTATGTGTTATGTGCGTTAATTTTTTTATTATAAATAGGATTATGAATCCTATTTATAGTTGAAAAATATAGCTTTATTTTATTTTTTTCAATAACAATTCCAAGAAAACCACACTTATCACTAGGATGAAGCGGTGTCACTTGAATGGTAGAATTTTCTCTCCCATATACTTTTATTAGATAACAATTTCGATAATTAACTTTTAATTATTTATCATTATCCAAATGTAATTGAGTTTAAGTGGATGCTCCATGTTGCAGATAATAATATGATCATTATCACATTATTTAATTTCAGATTAATTTAAATAATGATATTATTTAAAAATAAAATTAATCCAATTAAATAATGTGTGAAAATCAATTCAGAATTTATTATTGCTTTCATAAAGGATTAAGACTTGCTATTCGCCCCCATCATGGGCAATGATTCATGGCTATTCTTTGTCGCATGATCAGAGGCAAGGTTCTGCCCAGTCTTCGCCATCTCCAATTTTTTGATATTTTCTACTTTCACACAGAAACTGTTTATGTAATTTTCTTTATTGAAATTGGAAGCAATCTCTTACCTTTGATTAGATGTACTAGGCCGTGTCTAAGGAACATACAATTTTAATGAGCAATATATACATACTCTCATTATCAGTCAAGGCTAAGTGAGGACAAAGAATAAATTTAAATTTCAGTATTTTTCCTTACAGCGTTAGCCGACCCTCTACTAATTTATTAGCGTAGTCGAGGATAAAATTTATTAATTACTTATTTGCATCTTGCATTGACGAATCTAAAGAGTGACTTGAGATCTCTAATACATACAAATTAAACAAGTAAACTACGTGAATAAAACTAGCATAACCAACTAATTAATCAAGCCATATACTTGATAGGTATTAAAATTTGTTTTTACCTCGATTAGCACAACAAAGCTAGTTATTTGTATAGATTTGAGAACTCGAAAATTGATATTATTTTACAAATACTTAGAAAATTAGAAAATGGCGTTAACTAGAGCAGAAACAATGCCATCCGTAGTCCCTGCACCTCTCCAGTCCAGCCAACAATTTGTTCAAATGATAGTCGACACTTTCTTGTCTCCCGAAAGGGGCTTCTGATTTCAATATTTAAAAAAGTCAAGATATGGATATTAAACAATTAGATTGATAAAGTAAATTTAAATGTTTACCTTCATTTCAGAAATTTTCTCTTCAATCTTGTGACATAGATTGTTGTTGTCACATACATCCAGTTCCCAATGTTGTTCCACCATCTGAAGTAGGAATGCCTCCAAGAATGCTTGAGGACTAGAGTTGTAACAACTACCCAGAATCCAGTAATAAAACCAAATGCCATGCAGATGTAAAAGTCACGCGTTATAAACCCATCATCATCTTCAAAACTATTCCCCTCTCCGTGATCAGTAGCAGAACCATTAGAAATGTCTCCTGGACACTTAGCCAGAGGCTCCCCACAAAGTTGGCTATTCCCAGCATATACAGAGGAGTTGAAGCTTTGTAGTTGAGTGCTTAAAGGAATCTTTCCAGTAAAATTATTGTACGATAAGTCCAAAACGCTGAGAAAATGTAGTTCTGCAAGGCTATTTGGTATTTCCCCTGAAAGCTGGTTTCTAGACAAGTCAAGAAAATCTAACGTCTCCATTTGACCAATGTTTGAAATAATATTTCCCGTCAAATGATTTCTAGATAAGTTCAAAAAAACTAAACCTCTTAAAGCGGAAAACTCTTGAGGAATAGTTCCAACAAACTTATTTCCCGATAGATCAATGCCTTTCAAAAGTCTTAGTGTTCTCCATTCAAATTCTTGTCCTTTCCATTGAACAAAAACACTGTTAACATACACTTCCCAATGAAATAAACCATTTTGAGTAGACATCGTAAAAGAACCAGGATTTTCAATTGAACTATTCTTCTGGACTAAAGCCGTAAAATTGTTTAAACATGGCTATATACTTCCTGAAATGTTGTTTCTAGAAAGGTCCAAGACATGGATATTGGTAAGGAGGCAAATTGTGGAAGGCATGATTCCATCAAATTCATTAAATCGAAGGCCAAGAAATGTCAGACTTGTTAAGTGAGTTCCTATCCATGCTGGAATATTACCTGTTAACTTGTTTCCTCCCACATCAAGCATTCTCAGCTCCCTGCAATTCCTCAAAGTTGAAGGCAATTCACCAATGAAATTATTGCCACGCAAGTTTAATACTTCGAGTTGATCCAAAGTGCCCAAAGTGAGGGGAATCTTACCTGAGAACTTATTATTTGCCAAATCCAGAACAAATAATTCACTTCCGTTCATCCAGCAATTAGGAAGCTCTCCTGCCAATTGGTTATCCGAGAGATCAAGCACGTAGTTTAAATGAAAAATGGATTCCGTAGGAATTGTGCATAAGTGAAAAATGGATCCCGAAAACATGTTTTTGGAAAGTTTTATTTCTGGCCAATAAAAAAGAAATGATGGAATTGGACCTGAAATGTTATTGTAGCTTAAATCTATAATTGAACGTTGAGTCGACTGTGAGGACAAATTAGGAATTTTACCCGTAATATTGTTATGAGAAAGATCTAATATTGTGAAAAAAGGCATATTCCACAACCAATTGGGTATTGCATCTGATATACCAGCAAAAGATATATCAAGCCAACCAAGAAAATTCTGAGTTTGAATCCAATTTGGAAAATGAGGGCCCAAATGACAATGGCTGAGCAGTAGTCTATACAATTGAAAAGGAGGAATCCAATCTGAGCTCAAATTGAAAGTCAAGGAGTTCGAGTTTAAATCAAGCTCTCTTAAGTTGGCAAAGTTTGAGAGGTGACTTTCGGTGATTGTATCTTCCAACAAATTTGAAGACATACCTAAATAACTGAGATTTGAAAGTTTCTCAATACCTTCAGGCAGCCTTTTCAATTGATTGTAAGATAAATCTAATTCACTAAGAACTAAAGGTTGCCCAAGACATTGTGTGTGAAACGCATTCAACTTATTGTTACCAAGGTCCAAACGTGATAAGGATGAAAATGTGGTATTATCTGGCAAGAGACCATTTAATTCATTGGATGATATATCTAGTGTATGTAAATTACGCAAAGAGCTTGGAATCCCACCGCGCAACTTATTGTCACTCAAAACAAGATCTTCAAGAAAAAACAATTCCCCAAAGGAATCGGGAATAGGACCCTCTAATTGATTACCAGCGAGGTCAATGACTTTAAGACTCGCACTAATGTTAAACATCCAGCGGAATGTGGAAGAGGAAGTGAGATAATTGGAGGATAGGCGGAGGATAGATAGTTTGGATAAAGAAGAATTAGGAAAGATATCAAAGCTTTCGTAACCTAACCCTTCAACTGAGTAATCCAAGTGCAGTTCCTCGAGGAGAGGGAAACTTGTCATGTGGTGCAACCAGCTAGTTTGATTTATAAGGTTAACACCACTCAAGTCAAGATGTGATAACGAAGAAAGATGAGAAAGACAATCAAAATTCTTGATTCTCAAATTGTTATAACGAAGGTCAAGAGTATTCAGATTTGTAAGGTTCCCAAGTTCGCAAGGAAATTCACCACTGAAGTTTGAGGATCCGAGCTTCAAGTGCCTTAAGTTGTTGAAGGAACCAATGACTCTTAGTATTTCACTTCCTCCAAAATCATTACGACTCAGGTCAAGATATGAAAACGAAGAAAGATGAGCAAGACAATCAAAATTCTTGATTCTCAAATAGTTATAACCAAGGTCAAGAGTATTCAGATTTGAAAGAGATTCTCAAATTGTTATAACCAAGGTCAAGAGTATTCAGATTTGTAAGGTTCCCAAGTTCGCAAGGAACTTCACCACTGAAGTTTGAGCCACTGAGATTCAAGTGCCTTAAGTTCTTGAAGGAACCAATGAATCTTGGTATTTTACTTCCTCCAAAATCATTACCTCTCAGGTTCAAATAATTCAAATGTTGCAAATCAACCAGTGAGGGGCTAAGCTTAGCCTTCAAAGAGTGAAATACCAGATCAAGTGAAGTTACATGACCAGTTCCGTTGCTACACGAGACGCCCTCCCATTTGCAACATTCCTTTTTATCTTCTTCACTTCCCCAGGATGACAAAACGCCATCTGCATCAACAAGGTCATGCTTAAACTTCAAAAGAGCTTGTCTTTCCCTCTCTATGCACCTAACTTCAGCAGCAGATACTGAATTGAGCTTCATGCACAGTGAAAGTACAAACATCAGCACACTCAATAGTTTGATGAATCTGTTAATCTCCATCATTTTCTCTGATATCGTGTTTATAGTAATTAAAGACGATTGAAGTTTTTCAAGTATTGTGTGCTCAAACAATCAAATTATATACGAAGATGTCTGTCCCACAATGAAGTAGACTTTACTACAAATTCTTATAGCGTGCATAATGGGCTATAACATGTGGTCTTCATAAACATCTATCATGGGGCCTCAATTACAACACAATGTCACTTAGTTGAAATACATTATTTACAAAATATATTATTCTCCCTATTATTTTGAACAACGTATTCTTCAATAAAATAATATTACACGCAAATAAAAAAAATCTTATTTTTTAATCATACATTCTCCATCAAAATATTATTCTAAAATGTATTTTTCATCAAAAAACAAATGGAGCTCAAACAAGCTTGGATACACAAAAATCAAATTTAAAAAAGAAGGTACAAACTGAAAAAGAACATAAAAATATAAGAGAAAATATAACAAAAATTCAAATATATCTTCAACCCACCCGTAAGCGTGCACATCGGGCTACAGCATGTGGTCCTCATATACATCTATTCATTGGCCCAATTCCTCTTAGTGTGCACAATGGGGTAGAAAACTTCATACACGTCTATTCATGAGCCTCAATTACGATACAAAGTCACTCAAATCTACGAGGCGTAGATTGAAATACTAAGGGTTTGTTTGAATCTCATTTTTAGAAAATAGATTTTGTGATAGGAATTTTTTGGAGAATTTATGGTTAAAAGTGAAAAATCTTGAATTTTTGAGTAAAATTATTTTATTGAAATAACATATAATTGAAAATAAGTTTAAAGATAAATGGGTTTATGAAGAATAAAGGGTCTCAAAAAAGGACTAAATATAATAAAAAACTAAATTTTATCTAACAAAAATTTACTAATGTATTTTTAAAGCCCTTGCTTGACCCCCCACCCTCCCCACCCATTATTTGAGGAAAATAGATTTTTGAATAATGATTTTTAGGGGAATCTTTGATTAAAAAATAAAAAAAAAAATTGGGTTTATGTGTACAATATTTTATTGTGTGAATGTGTAATTGAAAACGAGTATATATAAAAAAGAATTTAAAAATAATAATTGTCAAATAGGGATTTAAATTGCTTCAACTTCAATCACATCATAGTTGTCAATGTTTCTATCTTTCTCAATATGTCGGAAGAAAGTTCAACACGGAAAGACTTTTCTTAGGATTCGCACACATTGTACACGGAAAAAGACTTAGGTTTCACACTTTCACTAACTTTTTGAGTTACTGTGCAATCATTATTGAATAATGCTAAGTGTACACAATCTTTTACACAATCTTTTACACCTCTCTCACATGGAAGGGGGCCCACACATAATAAAATAATCGTGGACCCCCCTCCATGTGAGAGAGGTGTAAAAGATTGTGTAAAAATGTGTGTGTACATGTAGCATTACCCATCATTATTTATGTTTACAATGAGAACCAAAAATGGTTCAAGTAGAAAATAAAAATGCCTTTACACACCAACATAATTTCACATCAATTGTGTTACAGATGTATAATAAGTTTATATAATGGTTATATACACATGATGTGTCGAGATATAATTGGGTTAGAATTTCTTTAATCAAATAAAAAAGAAAAAGCTTCCCCACTTTTTTCAACACATAATATGTATATAAATCATTATGTAATTAACTATGTACAAGTAGCATTGTTCATTTTACATAGCAAGACTCAAAGATTTTCGTTATAAAACATTGTTAGTCACTCAATTTTCAACAAAATTTCACGTTGGTCAAAAATTATATTTTTGTTGTGAAAAAATCATTATAGTTTACCATTTATTTCAATTTGGCCACTCGATTATTATTTAAGTTTTCTAATGCAAAAGACCCTAATGTTAGCACCACGATAGATTATTTTCGTCTACCATACCAAGCATTCGATTAGAAAAAGCCTAAAATTTAAACGAGCAACCAAATTGAAATATGAAACGAACATTAGTCAACTCGGCCGAGGTCTTTTGGGTAGGTATAGGAAAGTTGAGGACTCTTCTGAAAATTAAATAACTATGTCCAAATTTTCACAAAAGTTAGTTTCATGCAAAGAATTACTTGGAAGGACGAGACTTCCACATAATTCATTTTTCGAAGAACAAGTTTCCCCAAAATTGTAATCTGTGAATTAACTATTGATTTCATTCACAATTCACTTGCCCATTTGCTTTTATGTTTGATTCGGTGGAAATTGAATAATTTTTAGAAAGACCATCCAAACCGCAATAATGCAGCGAAAAACATTATGACTTGTTCTAAGGACTAAAAACAAAAAGATTTGACTTCACAATATAGCTCTTGTTTTATCTGAAGATTCTTTGTAAAATTTGGGAGTGGATCAGTACCCAATTATACGTTTATTCATGTGGCTCACATTAAAGTCTTTACCATTGAATTCACCATTGTCTTATTAATAGTCTTCCAACTTGCTTGAAAAGACAAAGCAACTTGCTGTGGAAAGAGAAGAATATAATTTTTTTCCCAATCAACCATCTCAAGGACCATGATGTTTGCCATTCAAATTTACACGATTAAAATTATCTCCCCTCTAATAGGATAAAGCATTAGATAAGGTGGTTCAACGATTCTCACTTAGGGTTACCGAAAAAATGACTCTCAGTAAAGTATAAACACTTGGCAGAGATCGTGTTCCGGTCTTATCGTATTGAACTGTATAAAACAAACATGTAATAAACGATAATTTCAGTATGACGGTTCAATTAAATTGCATTAAGTTTCTAACAAAATGTATAATGCGGGAAGATGCTCACGTTAGATTGCTATCTACCATGTCAGGCATTCGATAAAATTTAAACTAGCAACAAAATTGAAATAGAAAACTAACTTCAGTAGCCACTTTGGAATAATAAAGTTTGGAGACCAATATGAAATTCATTGTAAGCTGAGTGACTAACAACAACAATTTAATCTTAGAAATCTTTTGTCCAACTAACGGGATCCACTAAAATAATTGGTCAAACCAACTAATAAAACCCAAATTTTCCACGGCAAAACAAAGATATTTTTCAAAGTTTAGTGAGTAATTGAAGAAGATTCCTTACGTGACAATTTATTAACGGTGTGATGGGCGCTACATGTGCATTTCGTTAGCCACGTCCCTAATTCCATTTAAAATAGATGTTAGCCGCGAGTAACGTTCAACGTTTGGATAAATTTATTGGTAAAAACTCGATATCTTAAATTTCAGTGAGCAATCGAAGACACAAATATAAGTTCAATGACCATTATGACAATTAACTCAATCAAGTGTCGGGAGATCTGTACCATATTCTTATACTAGTGGTTGCAAATTCCTTGCGCGGGGATCGATAGCTTTCAAGAACAATGGGAAAGAAAGAGTTGTTCCTTGCGTTCCTTTTCAAAAATAGTAACTAGGCATAAAAAATTTGATACCACTTAGATTTTCAGTCGGGGATGCAAACATAGTGACCCTAAAATACTTTATGTGCTATCTTAAAGGCGAAAACCTTTGACAATCCGTAAGTGGTTAATTATATCCTTGTTTGATGTAAAACTCAATTTTTCCAATAACTAGAAGAATAGTTTCATCTTAGTTGTGTTGGTTACCTAAAATTGATTTTTCAACTTGTTTAGCAGCTTATATAAACAAATTATTCACCTGAAACCTGTGTCATTCCAACTAATATAAATAAGTTCATTATCCTATATCAAACAATCTGAACAGATCTCATCTTTACACTAACTAATGACAGTTGATACATGCATTTCTATGCCAACTCTTTACAAAAAGCAAAAACAATGAATAATAGTGCTACTTTCTCAAACTCCTCCATAAACAGGTACTCAATGTTCTTCAATTCCTCCTTTCAACTTTACCTTTTGTCTTCTACAACAGAAGCCGTAAAACCGAAGGATGTCACAAAATGAAAACACATGCTGGTGAAATTAAAGCTT